GTCCATTCCCATCTCAGACACAGCTTCTCCTCTGCCTCCCACACGCCACCCAGGGCATACCTCCACTGACTATAAAGCCTTACTTTTTAATCTTTAAACTTTCAGATCAAGTTATAGAATAAACACAGACCACTTACTACTATTTATTAATTACAAAAATGTATCTCTGTAGCAAGGCGATCTCTTAGAAAATATCTTTTTTTTCCCCAAAATGTATTTTATTAAATGGGTGTTTTACAGATGCCCACAGAGGTCAGAAGACAGTGTCAGAGCCTCTGAAAGTGAAGATACAGATGTTTGTAGGCATCGTATTGGTGCTGGGAACTGAACCTGGGTCCTCTGCAAGTGCTCTTAACCACTGAGCCATCTCTCCAGCCCTGGAAAATATCTTAATAACTGATTAAAGTTAGTGTGATCAATACTAATACTGCCTCTAGGTAAGACTCAATGAAGAGCACACACATCAACAACTATAGACTATACTTAGCCAAAAAAAATTTAACCTGCATCCATTCAGGAACCAAATCTTAATTATGGGACAAACAATATGGCAACCAGCTGAGACTTCAAAAAAAAATGCAAGGAAGCTATTACATGTCAAAAGATATTACAAAGATACAAGAAATGTGATAAGACATAACATATGATCCTTAATCAGATCCATGAAGGAAATTTTAAAAGAAAAAAAAAAAGGCATTTACAGAACAGCTGGAGAAATTTGCCCATGGACTGTACTATGGCTTAAATGCATCCCCAAAAGCTTATTACTGAGAATTTAGTCCCTGGAGCAAAAGTATTGAAAGCAATGCCTAAGTTATAAGGGGTCTAGAGGTCTCACAGAAGCATCATCGCTGCCAGAGTGGTCTCCACAGACACTGAGACACTGGCTCCAACATAATGGAAGAAAACAAACAAAACAGTTTTCTCCGCTGCTTGATCGGACACTTTGCAGACTCCAGAACTAACGCCATATAAATTTCTTTATAAATTACCCAGTATCCAGCTTTCAGTTATCCTAGCTGAAAGCAGACTAATATAGACTACATTAATTAGTGTACCTAAAAATAATTGAATCTTGAATCATGACATCTCGTGGCCATACATAAAAGTGTATTTAATCTTAGAAGACAGGCACATGTAAGTGTTCAAGTATACAAGGTTATAACTGAGATTTGCTTTTGAACTCTCTAAGGAAAAAGCAAAGGCGTACTCAGAGGATGCAAGAACTGAAGTAACGTGACATATATCGGTAACTGAACCTGAGGAACGTGAGGGCCACCGTAGGGCTCAACCAGGCAGTCTGTACCTTTCGCTTTTAAAAGCAGAGTTGGAAAGCCGTCATTGAAAACGCACCAGGTGACCTCTAGAAATCTGAGCACAGCCTGCACTGCAAAGTGTGTTCCAGAACAGCCAGGGCCACGTAGTGAGGCCCTGTCTCCAAAAGTAACAGTAATAATTAGGGGAGGAGGAGGGGAAAGAGGAAGAGGACAAGAAGGAGGAAGAGGAGAGCAGAATGTGTACCTATTTGTTTAAAGTGGTTACCTTTCTTTTGTTAGGGTTTGTTTTAAAATCTACAAGGCTGGAGCGATGCAGAGGCCTCAGGTTTGGTTCCCAGCACCCACAGGGCCGCTCACAACTGTCTCTTAGGCAGGCAGTGCACACCTTTAATCCCAGCACCTGGGAGGCAGAGGCAGGGGGATGTCTGTGAGTTCAAGGCCAGCCTGGTTTACAGAGCAAATTCCAGGACAGGCTCCAAAGCAACCCAGAGAAACCCCAATTAAAAAACAAAAAGAAAAAACAAACAAACAAAAAAAAACTAAACAAACAAACACAACTGCCTCTAACTCCAGTTCCAGGAGAGCTGGCGTTCTCTTCTGACCTCCAAGGGCAACAGGCACGTTCCAACACAGCCCTTTGCATTGATGCGGGCAAGACACAATACGTATGGATTAAAAATAAGTCTCAATTTAAAATTTGTACTTAAAACATTACCTTTGTTACTTTCAACCTGATTTTAAAATAAGATTGATTAATGATTTGCTCCTCTTCCCAAATTTTGTTATTTAACAAAAATACTGGCATAAAGATAAGTTTAAAGATTTTACATATACATATATAAAACATGTGCATATAACACATGCTTGTATATGATATTCACATACACATCTCAAAGGCTTAAAAACAGAGGTACACAAGTGTCTCCAACATGAACTCTCCTAAGCAACACCCATAAGCATCCGATGACCCACTGGGCATCTTCACAAAATCAAGAGGAGTCAAACAAAACATTATCCTTCCCACTCTATCACCCTTACCAATTCATACTCTAGAATGTTCCCTCCATTATTCTCCCAATGGTTTCAGTTCAACAATTCAACAACCTCTTTATCTTTCCTTATACATCCAGCTACTCAAGAAATCAGCCAAAAATCAGTGACATCCATGGATATTAAAAAAAAACAAAAAACAAAAACAGACGTTGGAAAGCACATATAAGAAATATGGTCCACTTCAGACTGGATATTTGTGCTCCCTTCTCTCCCGTTAATATTGGACATGATAGCGCCTGGGAGGTCTCTGGGAGGCAGATAAAATCATGGAGGTGGAGGTGTGGTCTCCACAGAAGAAGTAGTTTTACGAGAGAACTTGAACTGCATGAGGATAGGTCAAGGAGGCTGCATCTTGAAGCCTGAAAGGGTACTAACTAGTGGTACCCAAACCAAACTAGAACTACGAGAAGCAGGTTTTTCTTGTTTAATGCATCTAGTCAATGAGACCATTAAAGCACGCTGAGCAACAGTAGTTTGGAAAACTCACTAAAGAGGAGCCAGAAAAGGAAACAAAACACATTTGAAGAAATACGACTAGAAATCTACTTTGATAAAAGATATAAAATGCATGTGGAGGCTTGGTTCATATATTTCAATGATTGGTCCCCAGTTGGTGGGACTGTTTGGGAAGGGTTGGAAGGCGTGGACTTGTTGGAGCAGGCGTGTATGGAGGTGGGCGTTGAAGTTTCAAAAGCCCATGTCATTCCCAGTTAGTTACCGCTGCCAAGCCCCCTGGCTACGATGATCGGGACTTACAGCCCTCTGGAACCCTGAGCCCCCAAACTAAATGTTTTCTTTTATAAGTTGCCCTGGTCAGGGCATTTTGTTGCAGCGACAGAAAAGTCACTAAGACAAAGCTGACAGCACAGACTGGACCCAGCTGTGAAATCCTGACCACGCTGGGGTTCTTGGAGGAATGTGGAAGACTCTGAACAGCGCAAGAGGTTGGACGGTGTAAGCGGGGCTTTGGGGCCCTAAAAGCAAGGTAGTAAGTAGTGCTGACAGCAGGGTGGGCTAAGGGGGCCCAGCCCAGGAGGTCTCAGCAGGGTACAGTGTCAGCAGCTGGGCCACAGGCCTTTCTTGTGATACTTTGCCAAAGAGCCTGTCTACTCTTCGCCCTTTTTCTAAGAACCTGCCTGAGGCTAAACGGGAGTGCTGGAGTAATTTCATTGCCAGAGGAGATCTCAAGACAGCCTAAAATAAATTCTGTCGCATGATCATAAGTGATCACGGGAAAATGGAATAAATCGAGTACAGCTCTCAGGGCAAAACCCTACCCTGAAATTTGGAAAAACCCTGCAACTTGTGAAAAGGAAAGGACTATAGAATTGTCTGTTCCTAAAGAGCAATAATTCAAGACTTATGCAAATGCGATTCAAGGAGTAGGTTGCGTTCCATCTCAAGCAGGGAGCGCAGAAGCTGGCGCCATCAGCCCTGTGGTTCTGGCTTTAGAGTGCCAAGAAGGACTCAGGAGTAAAGGACTGTGCGATCTTCCTCTAAGGTTAAAGAAAGCTGCAGGGCCAGGGGTGTGGCAGGGCGTCCCTGCAGGAAAACTCAGAGGGAAGCTGGGAAAACAAACCTTGGATGATAGCAGAGCATGTGACACCGACAAGGGAAACTGCTAACAGGAAATGAAACCAACCCAGAGAGTGACAGTCAAACTGGAAAGAGCCATCTGAACCCTTTGATGGCGGGCACAGAGTGCAGGGTTTGGAGTCCGCCCCGCTGGGTTTCTGCCTTTCACTGGTCCAGTATTTCCTCACCGTGGCCCGTTTCTCCCTTCCGGAATGGTAATTCGTGTTGTGTGCCAAGGTATGTTGGAAGCATGTGGTTTGGGTTTCACTTTTACAGGGGTTATGACTAAAAGACTGCCTTTAGTCTGACAAGACACTTTGGATTATCAAACTGGATTAAGATTTTGAAACACTACGGGGTCTTTCGAAGTTGGACTAAATCCATTCCGCATTACGATATAGTTATAAGCCCAGGGGGCCAAGGAATGGAATATGGAAATGGCCCCCATAGGAGGTGAAATCGTTTGGAGAATTAGTGTGGCTTCATGGCAGGGGGAATGTCACTGTGGATGGGCTTTGAGATTTCGAACGCCTTGGTCATTCGCCGTTAGCTCGCTCTCTCTGCATCCTGCCTGTGAATCAGATGTAAGTTCTCAGCTACTGCAGCCCTGCCCTACACTGCCTGCTGCCATGACCCCCCCCCCCCGTGGTGTTCATGGACTGCAACCCCCAATCAGATGCTTCCTTTTGTCGGATGCTTTGGTAATGGTGTTTTGTTGTAGCAATAGAAAAATAACGCCATATATAGTCAAGGATCTCAACAAATTCCAAGCAGGACAAACTAAAAGCGATCCATAAGAATACACATTATAAAAACACTAAATAAATAAACTGTACCTCTCATCAGCCAAACATGCAAACTTGGAGAAGGGAAGACCTTGATTTCCAGAGTTATTTCTATACAATATTAAAACTGTCCAGTTCTCTACAAGAATGGTAAAGAGCACACACACACACACACACACACACACACACACACACACATGCACACACACGTGTGCCATACGGCCAATTTACAGGGAAGACTAGCAAAAAATGTCCCTGACAAAGTGAAGACTTAAATGGACTTTTATTTCTTTTTATATTATTTGTTTTAAAGGGGAAAGCACAAACATAGTCCCCCACTACCACAAATTACACAGCCAAGTTTCCCACATTTGGGGAAATCTCAGAGGTCAGCATATCTGGAGTTCGATGGATAAGCCTGGCCCTGGAAAACCACCTGTGTGATCACGGTATCTCTTTCTCCTGCCAGGCAAGTATGAAAAATTAACAATCTTAAGTATGCCCCAAAAGTGAAGGAAATTACACACACACTCACACACACACACCAAACCTCTAAGATAAAACAATGGATGCAAATGTAGGGAATATTAATTATTAAAAGGTACCAAATAGAAATGTGGGGACAGAAAACAGTAAGGAAAATTTCAAATCCTTAGAAAAATTCAACAACACAGTTGAATAGGAATCAGTGAATTTGACTATGACACAATTAAAATTACCTACTCTGAGAATCAGAAAGAATAAAGAAGAAAAAGACGCTGGATATGGTGGCACACGCCTATCACCCCAGCAGGGAGAGAGAGGTGCAGGGAAACGACTGTGAGTTAGAGGTCTTCCCAGTCTGCATGGCAAGTGTGAGGCCAACCAGAGCTTTATACAAGATGGAGGGAGAGGGAGAGAAAGAAAGAAATAGACAAAATCTAAGGAACCTATAACAACATACTCATAAAAACCTCACAGAAGAAAAAGAAAAGGGAACAAAAACAATTTAAAATTATGGTTAAAACATTTCTAACTTTTGTGAAAGAATATGAACCTATACATCTAAGAATCTCAATAAAATCCCAAGCAGAATAAATTCAAGGATCCATACTAAAACACGGTATATTAAGCAAGAAAAGAGACACATCAATAGGGGGAGCCATTATAGGTTTGAAAAGAAATTTGGCACTAGGGAATTGTACAGAGATCCACTGTCCTTGCTTCGTGTAAGATAGAAATACCCCAACTGCCACCTGCTTTACAGGCTAACCAACTCTCACAGAACCAACTGTGTCCACATTATATGCAAGTCTATGACCATCAAAATACCCAATGTTTAAAATGTGTCAGGGAAAACCACGCAAACTGAAATGTTTTCCAAAAGAACAGAGCTCAAATCCTGATGTTCTAGTTGTCGATTTCTTTGCTTTGTATGCAAAATATATGCATATGTAGCTACAAATTTAAGCTGACTGTGTTTTAAAAGAACATCATTGTTAGTAAATGCACAGACAATAATAATACTGGCACATAACTTATCATTTCTTTTATAACTATGAACCTTAAAGTGAAACGTCACATTGGAAAAGATGTATCAATATTTAAACACTGCAATGCCCAGTCAACCCTTCTTGTACCAGCTTGATTTACCAGGAAGAACTCTAAACTCTATCTGTAAGTAAGTGCTGCTGACATTTATGAACTCCTAAGCAAGACACATAACATTTCCATAACTGAGATCCTTCAATTACAAAATGTTACAAATCTTATGGCTTCAAGGTTCCCTTGTGAGCCACTACATCTGAGAGCTTTACAAAGCATAGCACATAGCAAACTTGCTTAAGACTTAAGTGTCTTCAGGCCATCCACACACACACCCAAATAGAGCACAGTGTGATAGTCGGTTAGTGCGTCCGCCGTCTCTGTATGACCTTACCTTCGAATGAGCAGGCCCGCTTTCACTCAGAAGCTTATACTGGGGTTGGATGCTATGGAAACGGGCTAACTCATTTACCAGACACATTGGAGTTTTCTCTTTGGGGTTAGCCATTTTATCGTGAAGAGAAGCTGTAAATAAAAAGGCTGTAAAGTTTTTGTCAAGAATGACTTTTTAAAATGGAAAACTAGTCTTCACTTTTTAGACTAAAGTCAGACTGAACAACTAAATCATTTTCATGAATTTGTATTTAAGACTTTATATCTCATAATGTCTTCCATCACATGCAATAGGATAACGTAGCAAATCTGAACAATAAACAAGGGTTTATTTTTTTCTTACCTAAGTTTTTCTCTATACACATATAATACCACCACCATACTTAAAGATTATAAAATAGCTTTTAATATATTATCATAACTTTTCCTTTTCTCTCAATAAACTTTTACCATCATCAGGTTAATTTCTTCATTCTTATTACTACAAAAGTAAATTCTGTCTGAACTTGAACTCACTATGTAGACAAGGATGACCAGTGCTGGGATCACAGGTAGAAGCACCCCATCCAGTCTCATGGAGGGATCGAAACCAGGGCCTCCTGCATGACGGGGAAACCCTCTACCAACTAAGCTATAGTCCGAGCCCAATTTCTGTCAGTCAATGCTATCTCAAAAACAACAAAAAGGGGTAGGGAAAAAAACTGAATGCTCACATCCAACACCAGCATTAAAACTGCTAACATTTTCTGTATTTGCTTTGAACACTTTTTATAGTTCTCAATATCTTCTTTAAAAAAAAAAAAAAAAAAAAAAAAAAAAAAACTACTAATGGGGATTGGAGAGATGGCTCAGAGGTTAAGAGCACTAGCTGCTCACCCAGAGGTCCTGAGTTCAATTCCCAGCAACCATATGGTGGCTCACAAATATCAGTAATGAGATCTGCTGCCCTCTACTGGCATGCAGGCAGACATACAAGCAGGCAGAACCCTGTATACAAGATAAATAACTCTTAAAAAAAAAAAAAAAAAAAGAACTAACAGTACTTAATTTTCATAAGGTTTCTTTAATCTTCTCCAAAGATTACCAAGATGAATTTAGAATATACTCTTCCCCCAAGACAGCGCCCCTTACCAGCAGGAAGTAGTTTGGAAAGAACGACGCCCAAATTCCCAAATATTGTGTATAAATGTTTGTTTTCATTTAATTGGACTTTGTTATATAAAATTAAATAAAAAAATTATATATATAAAAAAAGAATATACTCTTCCAAGCAAGTGTAAATATATTTGCAGATATATATGTAGTCGCATGGTTGATGCATTTGGCTTTTAGTTCACATTGACAACATCATAATAAATACATAATAAATACAGTCTTTTCAAATACTGTTTTCACTCTTTGGTATGTTGGGATTTTAACTGGCATTGATTTTCATGTTATCTTTTTAACAAATACAGAATTTCCACGATGCTATTATAATAGGTTTTTATCCACCCCTACACTAGACATTTACTAGCTGAATTCTTCACTCTTAAAAAAAAAAAAAAAAAAAAAAAAAGCCCAATGGTTCTGAGTGACTGTGACAAGCAATCTTCCTCTACTTCAAACTTTAAAGAGTGGAATAACAGTCACATGTCGTAATTTAATTTACAATCGGATCGGATGTTTACCTAATACCGTCCCCTAGCATCCGGACAGTTTCTGCATTCCTGAATCACTAGTGAAGTTAACTACTTTATGTTAAGGTAATCATGAAGGGTCTCTTCTAGCTCTTGGTTATATCTTACAGCTATCAGTCTTTTTCTATTACAGTTTGTGCATTTTGGGGTCTTAAGAAATTCTTCCCTAACCTTCAAGGTTAATCTCATTGGCCTCCTGATGCTCCTGTAAAAAGAAAGTGTGCTTTCTGTCCTGCTCCTAGGTGGAGCCCTGACTGTGTTGAAGACAGGCAGGAGCATCTCCTGAGCCCAGGATTTCAGAACCAGCCTGAGCACCACAGGGAGGCTCCTTCACAATACAAAGAGTAAATATAAATAGAAGGGTAGAAGAGGAGGAAGGGGTCTACTAACTCCTAAGACTCCGTATTTACGGTTAGGAGCTACAGCACACAGACGCGGTATTATTACAGTTTCAAAACAGCTTGTTAGTACCAGTCAACTAGCTTATCCTGTGTCTTCCTTTACTCATCTACGGACACATTTCATCACTTTCTAAGTTTTCATGCACCTCCCATTTATCAAGGCCAGAGAAAATTCAAGATCTAAGCATAAAACATGCAAGAGCATCACTTTCTGCTGGAGCAGCAATAATGAATGGAGAGTACATAAGGAAAGAGGCCAACTTACCGCCATCTACAAACTTACACCAAGGTTTACTGCACAAAATGAGACTTCCTTTTAAATCTGTAGCGTTCTTAACGTATACAACAATGTGGTACAATTCCTTGTCATCGATACTATGGGGTAAGAAATGGTTTCTTAAGAAAGCTACATATTCAACGAAGCACAGGCAACAAGATGGATCTAAGCAAACAAAGTGTAGGGCCGATGCAGCTGATGGCTGGCCTGAGCAAGTCGAGTTCCAAGTGTCTCACAAACTAAAGCAAGACTCGTCATTATTGTTTTGGAGGAGAGTCAAAAACAGATAAGAAGTTCTGATAGCTTTGGGAAAGCCTGTCTTCTGTGTAACTCACTATGTGTCATGCAAAAACGCACTTTATAAAATACATATTCAGTCGATCTCAGTATAGAAAATTTGATGATCTGATGCTATGATCGATGTTAGTTCGTGAAATATTCCAAGCACAACAAACAGACCAGCTTATTGAATGTTTTTAAAAAGCAAAAGCATGCAGATATGGTGGTGCATGTCTAATATCCTAACACTCAAGAGGGCTTTGAACGGGAGGATCATGAGTTCAAGACCAACCTGGACTATGCAGCAACACCTTCTCTTAAAATAGTAAAACAATGGCAAAAAAAAAAAAAAATCAAATGTCAAAAATAAGAAAGCATTAGTATGGTAAAATGTTGCCTAATCCAAAAATAGCATTTACATTAAACATGTAATTTCCATTCTATAAAACTACGAACTTATGTTACAATGCAAAAAAATATTAAAAGCATACCTGTCATAGTATAAACATTTTATAGATGAAAATGTTTAGCTGTGTAATTTTTTTTTCTTTTCTTTTTGGTTTTTCAAGACAGAGTTTCTCTGTGTAGCCCTGGCACTCCTGGAACTCACTCTGTAGAGCAGGCTGGCCCTGAACTCAGAGAGCCACCTGCCTCTGCCTCCTAAGTGCTGGGATTAAAGGTGTGCACCATCACCGCCTGTATAATTGCTAGGTGATGTGGGATGTCCTTCTGTAAATATGTGTTGCTTTTATTAGTTGATGGATAAAGCTGATTTGGCCAATGGCCAAGCAGAATAGAGCCAGGCAGGAAATCCAAACAAAGCTATGGAGAGAAAGAAGGCAGAGGTAAGGAGATGCCATGTGGCCACCAGGGAGGCAAATATAAGACTACAAGCCACAAGCAGAAACGGGTTAATTTAACTGT